AGTAATGACTGAAAAATTTTATCCATTAAGGCCTTGTGAAAAAAATTTTTACTTCGCCTTTATTAATAAACAGCTTCTGCATAAATAATAAACATGTCATTCGACAATAATCGTCGGCTTATTGGATGATATTAGCTCTAGTGGTCACTAGTCATGGTCACGACCGAGCACTTGAATTTGAATCTTAGCTTAAATGCTATATAATCATGCTAAAGTGGTATTTGTTAATAAAGTTGACTTGAGAAAGATTTATTAATACGGGCTCCAGTAATGATAATGAATTAATGACATAATGTGCACACGCAGTTTAAAATTTTTTGTTTACATTTTATTCAAAATAAAACTACACATTTTCGACAAGTAAAATTGATCATTCACAAAAAAAAAATTGCACACCATAAGGCACCAATATTTAAAAAAAGAATCATCCATTACAATAAGTAGCAAACCCATTCTTTAATAAAATATGAACATATTTACTCATATACTATAGATATATTGCATTAGCTATGACTTATGTATACACTTAAGTAAATAGATATTCCGTAAATATTTTTTATAATATAAAAATGTGAATTAAAATTATAGTTTATGTTTATTCTAATAATTTATAATAATAAAAAAGTATAGGAAAATTGTCTACAGGTAAAAACTTAAAATTAAAACTATAATAAAACTTTTAATTAATTTTAAAACAAAACGAATTACTCTACAGGAATGATGTATTTAATTTAATTAATAACAAGTTAATCTTTCGGAACGTTTTTTTCATAATTTTGGATATCTTTGGACTTTGAGAATTTCTTGACTACTTCAAAATTGAGAACGGTCCGAATTTAAATATTTTAAAAAATAACAACAGTCTGCTAGGGTTCAAACCTATAGGTCAGCACGCGTGTTAAAAATTTTTAACGAATTTAAAAATTGTTGTGAAACTTGTAATTTCAATATAGTATGTACTTTTTTAATGCCCCAAAATTCGCACCGTTCTCGTATAACAATAAAAAATTACCAAACATGCTTTTCAAAACTTGTATAAAGGCACTACATAAAAGCTCTAATTTGTTAATATTGCTTCTGACTACTTCTCACTTTTAATATAAAAGTTATTCAAATATCAATAAATGTATTTATTTACTATATATCAATTCGTCGGTGTTAAAAACTAAATAGGCACTTTAAAATGCTGACGATATTAATTCTAATTTGATGAAATTCATCAAATATATTATTAAATGTCCTAAGTGCTTGAAACGTTTTTCAAGCATCGCGACAATGACGCCAGTGGCTCTGTGGCAAAGTATCACACACAATGGACGCTCTACCAGGGCATTTACGACGCGTTGTTCGACAGTTCGACCTAAGTGACAGCATCGTACACTGCAAATTCACGCGGTGGAGACGTCGTTGTTTTGGCATCGAAAAATGCAAAGGGACCTCATCATTTACTAATTAATAAAAATATATGTCTTAGTACACTTGGTCCTTAAAATTGATTGAATGACTAAAGATCGATACCTCACACGTAAGTTGTTGTAAGTCAAAATAGCACTTTTTGCTTTTTAACTTAAATATATATTTTCTTTTGTATGTTATGGGTTCCATGTTTGAAAGTAATTTCACACATTAAGTGATTTTCTTACTTTTAAATATGAAACCTATATTATGCATAAAAACGGATTTCATATTTAAGTTAAAAAGTAAAAAGTGGTGTTTTTACAACAACTTACGTGAAAGATATACACTAAAGATTTTAGAAAACATTTACTTATCAAATTGAACTTAATTTTGTTTTCAGTGGTTTCACAAGGTTATGTTTTTAATGCTTTCTACAAAAAGCAAAATAGTATTGCCTCTAATGGGAATCAACCCTAACGAAGCGTACATGTGTGTAACGCGTGCGAAAATAAAAATAAAAAAGACATTTTGGTGACGTGTGACTAGAGAAGCTATCGGAAGTTTGGCGTGGCGGCAGTGCCGGCTACATCTAGTGGTAAATAAGTAAATAAGATCTATTATACAAACAAATGTGGGAAACTGTAATCGCAAATCCATAAAGTTACTACGGCTCACAAACAAACGAAGCGTGGGACGCGTGCGTTGCTGATAAGCGCATGTCGATCTTAACTTCTATCTAAATCAGCGTTCGAAGTCACAATTTCAGTAACCCACAAATCCCACTAAAACACGGATCGGCGAAAATTACACGAAATTTACAATATGAAATTCTGAACTATGTAATAACTTTATTACGTTAAAATTTAAATTTACGCCGATGAGTATTGAAGGGGATGATCTATAAGGCACACAAGAGCCTAATTTTAAAAACATCTTAAACATACAACAGATAACATGTCAAAAATATTATTTTATTTGGCAAAACTTGTCACGTTTTGGGGGAAATCATGGCAACAATAGATCACAATGCTTTAGTGAAATGTATACCATATTGGAACTACAATATAAAAGCAAAAGCGTATGATTTAAATCTATGAAATAGTTATTGAGTGTAAGAAATATGGAACAATTAGAGATAATAGATATCCATTTATACGCTCGGGAAAAGTAACCCTTAAAATAAAACAACATTGATCCGAGCACTCAACTACTAAATAAGATCGCTGAACGAATTTATTTAATAGTATGTAGAATGAATGAATTACAAACTGTCACATTACTTTTATTGTGGTAAGTTTATATAGTACGAATCTTATGATTTATACTATATCATTAATTAGATGTCCAAAATGCAAATAAAGTGGACAATGAACAGACTAATTATAAGAACTCTCTAAAAGGAACACCGCTCAATTATACAACCGTTTCGCATAGACGTGGGACATCCTGTATATAATGGTATTGATGATGTACACATTTCATTCATGTTCGTTTGTATTGAGTAGGTCATACGTAGATTAATGTGAGGGATCTAACCCTACTAGTAGAGAAAGACATAACACTGAAAATAAAGATTAATTTGGCACATAGGAATTGATACAGTGGCTTGTTTATATTGTTCTTCAATTAATAACAAATGATTTAAAATAAACTTAAAAAGTAATTGCTCCGTATTTCTTAACATAAACATTTAAATATCAACAAATATATTTAGAAGCAAAGTAACGTTAACCGACTATAGAATATAAACATGGAATGTAGCGAACCTTAAACTCATGTCATTTCAACCAGCAAAATAAAACTTCTACCTCTTTGGTGAAATAAAAAAAAACAAAACAAAACATTCTTGTGATGATGCCTAGCTTTTTTTGTGACCAAATATATAATAGAACGTGTGGAAAAATATTTCTGAAAGTTTTTTGTAGAGCGGACAATATGTTATACGTGGTGATAAGAACAGTGTACAAAAAACTTTTAACGTGTTGTACTAATATTTCAAAGTAAATTATTTTCAAACTAACTCCGAAAAGTGAGAACTTTGAATATTGCATGCAATATTTAATCTTTTATGTTTTTATAGACAGATAATTTACATTGGCCGCTGTTTGGAATAAACTCTTTAGGTAAATAACATCATTTCACAAATCTGCAATCACTAGCGAAACTAAATGGTTAATGTAATTATCAGAAACTCATCGACTTTCAGATATATTTGAGATACAATGGAAAGGAGAATTAAGTTTTTTTATTATTGAAGTAACGATGAAGTAAGGATGTATTTGTAGATTATTATTATCTTATGTCTGTGGGGAGGTTGTGTAGAAAGCCTTGAAAGTTGTTTTTTTTTCTCCAATATTTTATCAGGAAACTAGTCTAATGATAATTTACTCATTAAAGCATTCCATATTACTGTGTCCTAAAGTCCTAGTTTCCGAAACATTCAGACTCTTAGGCAAGTTGATGGTTACGTTGTTAAAGTAGGTATGTAGTAATAGTTTCGATTTTTCTCGCTTATATGAAAATAAAATCAATCAAAATTTAACCTTAAAAGTCGTTACTACCTCAACTCGAATTAAATTTTTTTCCGTACTAATAAGGTTCATTTTGCTTAGGTCGTGCGGCAGGGACAATGGCTTTATTTCAGAATTATTATTTGACAAACGAATATAAGCAATTTGAAAAATGTATATCGTATAGTATACGTGTTTTATTTAGTTCAGTGGATATAAACAATCATTGGTATAATTATGTAAAATACCTATTGAATACAGCGGTTTTCTTGTAAAATTTCGAGGTAAGTTCGTGAAACTATATATTTTTTTCAAAGTGATTGGTTCAACATTTTCACTGTTTTGCGGAATCAACCAAAGCCATTTGAGGTAGTATAGATTCTTAAATTTTACGGTAAACGCCGTAACTGTCCATGAACGGGATATTTGAATTATAGGACGATTTCTTTTTAAACATGTGTAATGTACGTGTTGTCATCAGAACATTGCAACTGTACTTAACTAACTATTAGTTTTCCCCAACACTTTATACATAAAGTTAGAAGAATACGAAGTGAAGTTCTACCCGATTAAAGACTTTCTTATTAATAACCTGTTTCAATAAAACTTAACGAAGCCTGCACTTTAAAAATTATGCAAAAGCAATTTGGTTGGCATTTTTTCATTTTTTTTTTTTTGCGAATTTAAATTATTCTTAGCTTTAAATGATTAGTTATGAGTTCAGTAGTACGACAGAAGTTTTTTGTTACACACTTGGGAACGCAACATAGAAAACTGCCTCGTATAATTAACGAAACTTTAATAACAAAAAACACCCCTTTCCAATCACGAAGCTAATTTAAGTTTGGTCATAAGCCGGGCTCTGCCGAGATGAGGGCGGCGATAAATATTCTCCATACTCATCATTAAGCAATTTGGTTTGCGTCGCGAAAGTATCAAAATCATCTGCAGGGTACGACACTGAGTGGAGAATTTCAACTACGCCGTTTAGTTTGATGTTCTCTCGTAAATGTCTATGGCGTTCGCAGACGCGGTTCTCGACGTGGTAGCATAGTTTTATGCCGTTGCGAGGTCGTCGACCTCGGCGCTTACCTGATCTTCCACAGTCGGAACAGCTGACGAGCTCTTCTGGTACGCCTGTTTTTTTGTTTTCGCGGTCATCGCCGAGACAGAAGTCACAGTAGGGTGATGGTGACGCCTGGAAAAAGAGGTAATGTACTTATGCACGTATGTATATGGTAAGTATTCCACCGTGACCGAACGGTTATCATGCTGGACTGCCACGAAGAGGTCCCAGGTTCGATTCCTGGACTGGGAGAAATATTTGTATGGCCTACTATTATTTATCTCGTGAGTTTGGATATAACTGTACGTTGCCGCGCGCTGCTTGCTTGCGCAACCAATTAGGTTTCGGCAGAATATCTGCGCTGCAAACTTATAAAGTTGGCAGCATTGTGCTTAGCCGAAACCTTTTCAGTATATTACTTGTTGTAACTTTTCCTTTTCTTGTCATATGTAATGCTGTGTTGTAATGTGTTGAATAAATGCTTTACCTATCTATCTATCTATCTAATTTGTGCTTGTCTATCTACGTGTGTGTACACGGCACCTGCGATACAGGGTTTCCTTGAGCGGAGCTATGAGTGAGTGCGTTATTATTATTATTATTATAGGTAGTCTAAAGCCGCATACTCATTAGCGAGCTGTAACGTGACAGATACAGTAACGAGGTTTTAGTGTGTAAGACTGTTTGACGCAGTCTCCACTGGATATAATGAGTACCTGGTTATCGTCGGCTCACTGCGAACCGATACAATTTTTGATAACATAACATGGAACGGTTACGGTTTCACCTCGCTAGAACCCAGCTTAAGGGACACGCCACACCTAACAAGTTTTCATTAAATAATCTCAGCACAGAGTACTAAAAAGCCGACCTCAAAAGTTCGTGGAATTACATATATTTGCCAAGTTTTATTGAAATCGGTTACCGGAAAGTGCAAGAAACCGGATTCATCCCCTAGTTTGTCACCATTAGAGGAGGAATATTTTCTCCAAATTTAAGTGGGACCAATACTGAGGTGGGTACCTCAGTCTTTGTAATAAAAAAGAATCATCAAAATCGGTTCACAAGTGCTGTGTCATCGTGTAAAATACATACAAAAAAGATACAGTCGAATTGAGAACCTCCATCTTCTTTGAAGTCCTTTAAAAAGCAGCATCATATATATTCATACATACATACATACATATATATACACATATTCACAGGGAATAACATCGTACTATGAATGCGATGGCCCACCAGTGGTTTTATTGCTTTATTTTGGACACAATATATCAAGATGTTACCGTTTTTAAGCCCCGACGCAAAACATGGGGAGTTATAAGTCTGAAACCTTTGTTTCTGTATGTCTGCCTTTAGCATCTTAACTTCCAAACGCACACATTTTTAGAACGCGCTATGTTTGATAACCATCTCTTCAGTTGTTTAAAAATCATCAGCTCTTTTCTCATTCAGTGTCGGGATCTAAGTTATAAAAAGAATATTACTTTCACTTGTCCCATTAACCTGAAATTTGTTATAACTATGGAAATCCGATAACATTATAATAATATGGTAACTTTGATCTGGTGTTGCACCCAGAACAGTCTGCTGATTACCAAACTCCTCAACTACTTACAATAGAAATGTCATGTTTCGGGGGCTCATTAAACTGATCTCGGACGAGTTGTTAGCTTATAGACGGCATTTTATCGAGTTTTTAGAGTACACGGTTTTGTACCGGGGGTTTTTTTAATTTTAATTTATGAGAATATGTCGGAAGAATGGTAACTGGGAACAACTTAGTACTGTGAATCACGATGGGTCGCGGTCACACATTTCAATTTGATTCCTATATGGGCTCTGGAAGTAAATGCCTCGAGGATCTTGCAGACAGAAAGCCGTCACGCATTAAAGCGTTCGGCCAATTCTATCTGCGGATTGTAATACTTTGATCGTTGCGGTCAGAGCATACGTGACACGAACCACACAAACGTGAAGCACTTTAAGGCTTCCTGAACTGAGAAATCTTATATATTTAGACAAGTGGTAAACGCTGTTGTGATAATAGAAGTTATTAATAAATTATGTTGTATTAAATTATTTGTATCATTTAACTATGTAAACAGGCAAAAGAATAACTCCTACAGCCAACTGCCAAATATTCGTAATAGCATCGTAATTTTCTTTTTAAAAAGGCGGTAAAATAAATTTAAGTGCTTTGGTATTATTTTTTGTTTTTTTGGCCTTTTATGTACGTTCGTCTCGAAAATAAATTCTAGTGAGAAGAGCGATAACGAAAATGCCTGCAAATACTATGTCTAATATTACTTTTAATTAATATTTTTTTACTTTTTCTATTATACAACTTCTACTCTGTCAAAGTCTTCTATTATTTCCTCACATTGTTTGAGAAAATCACTATATAAGCCGCGGCGGGAGCGAGGATTGCTTGACTCGTATTAATACGACACATACTCGTCCAGCAATCCATTATTTCCCGGCCTCTGCAATAATGTACTGTACCTTAATCTCTCCCTCTTTAATCTCCGGCATGACCGGGACGGGTGGTGGCGCAGCCGCGGCCGCTGCAGCTGCTGCAGCCGCGGCAGTGCCGGGCGGTACCAGTGGCACAAGTGCGGAATCCGACGAGGACGTGTCAGCTGACGCTGGGCGCGGGGGTGGGGATGGCCGACGCTGGACTGGCGTTGGCACGCCTACTGTGAGTGAAAATAACACCGTTAAGTATGATATTCAAACGGACCAAGGAACAACTGGCAACATGTAATTTTGTTACCATGCGTTCCAATACAGAAAGTGAACATGAATGAAATGGAGAACTGTGTGGTAGAACTTCACTGCCACCGCCCGCGGCAAATTCTCGTTTTTAGCTGTCTATTTCAATTGGACGAAGCTTTACTAACTACTGCTGACTCGAGACCCCAGCGTCGTTATCGAGAATAAGGAAATGAAGATTCTTCAAAGCTGGCCAGCCAAGCAATAGGTTACTCACACTTTTGTTACTGCGAGGCACTGGTACGCTTTAGTGCAAGTAACGAGTGTATTCTCGGCTACTAGTTACTTACACATGCCGGGGCCTTGCGGGTTATTCAGAAAAGTCACGTAACTGTCTTGGTACTCAGTGGCAGGCGCGACAGGCGGCTGCGGCGCGGGAGGGGTGCGCGTGGCGTCGCGCGAGTCTCCGTCGCTGCCGGCAGCGGGCGCGCCCGCCGGCGGGTCCTTGTGTGTGTGTGTGAAGTGATACACTAGACCGGCGCGAGTTTTGTATTTTGCACCGCATACTGTTGGGCAAAAGATGACATACGTGAGATAGGCGTTGCAAGAAAAAAATGCAAACTATTAAAAAAAAAGAAATTGGAAATTAGTATTTGAATAAATAAACTTTAACAACATACAAATGAACATATACACATATCTATATGGTTGTACAGTATGTAAATTAATTATCTATAGATCGTAATGCTTGACTCAACTTTAAACCTAAATAATATTTATTTGTTTTACATACATAAGCTAGCAACGATCATTACAGGACTAACGTAATGCAATAGTGTAGCCAAAATTTTACACCCAGTATCTGAAGACAAGTTGTTATAATTTCTAGTTTTAAGACCTATGTAAATAAAGAAACTTACTTACCGCCCGTGATGCCTCCATCCGCAATTATATCACTCAAAGCACAACGTATTTCAATTTGATATCTTATGTGAATCGAATAAGGTTGGCTAGGATCTCATAGAAACCTAACCTCTCTGTCACTTTCGTAAGAAGTGAGAGAGAAGTAAGAGTGTCATATGAAACTCTGGCCTGCCTATTTTGAGCCTACGTCGTCAGAACAGAGCATAGGAGGCACCACGAGGGCGAAGGCAGGAACGCAGCCTTCCAGCAATTTTCCGTCATCAATCAATACCTTTATAGAATGCACTAGACAATGTTTGAGAACGCTATAGTGGGTTAAACAATTGTATAATTTTGTGTCCCCGAAAGTGGTTGAAAATTGATAACATTTCGATTGCACTGTTCGCTTAAGAATGAAAACTGTATTAAGTTCTTAAAAGAACGGTAATTATTCTTGCAGATTTCAATTATGATCAAGCACCGTTTAGCTTGAATATTGATTGTGCTAAATTCTGAAATTGAACTTATTGTCCATAGGAATAGGGTGTAATATAGTCAGCTGAATTGAAAAAAGGTACTTTTTGGTCAATAAACATCAAAGGGGAAAACAGTCAATATATATGCGTATGTTTTATCAAAATAGCGTTCTCCACGAGTGTCTAGTGCGCAAAAAAGCCGGCCCGTCGTGATAATCGCTATGTTCAGTTCTGTCGACGCAGGCTCCGCGTTTGATTGATGACTTCAAATCACTGGAACTGCACTTGCTGTACACATAAATGAAAAAAAAAACAAAAACAAAAAATATTGACACAGTTGCCAAATAGTTAGGTCAAAAATTAAATTAGTTCTGTTTTTTTGGAATATCTCATTTCCCTTTAGGCTAGTCGTTGTCAGTGATATATTTCGTATTTCACCCTAAAAGAGCTTTCAAATTTGACGCTTGTAGAAGCACTGCAGTGGCGCGTTCATATTAATAATTTAAATTTAGGTGAACAAAAGCACTGTTAACAATTTTAGAAAATGACTTTAACGACTACTTCAAATTTCATTTAAAAAAATCACATATTTACAATAATCGACTACAATACTTATAAAACTAAAACACAACATGGAAAAATGTAAATAATAAGCAAAATCAAGAAGTAAACATAATTTGGCCCATATTAATAATTTAAATGTAGGTGAATAGAATCATAAATAATACGCCACACTAATTTTCATACTATATCTAGTCTGCAAAAGACGGCTGTGCGACACAGCTTCTAAATATTGTATGAAAAGGAGTAATGGCACGGCTGCAGCGCCACAGACGAGCCATTGCAGCTTTCTAAAAGCGTCTATTTTGAAGGCGCCCTTAGGAAGTTCGCAAACGAAGGCGTTCACGCGTTTCATGCGTTCTACATACTTTGTCACGTATTGCGTTTGACGGTCAGTGTACCGGAAACATGAATCACGAACGCCAAATCTCTAAATAGTCTTTTTAACTTTGTGAAAACGCAAATACATTTATTTCGACGTTTTATCAACGCAGTAATCGAGTGATAAAAAACAATAAAATAATAAATGGTCCATAAAAATCACAAATAAAAATGTACAATTGGATAATTTTATTTCTTATTCAACATAAATATTTCTTGTATAAATTCATAACAATCTTTGGGTGCTAAATAGCTTGGATCTAAGGATAACATCAAACCGCTGCTAATACTATAAGTATTGATTTAAATTTAAAAATATAATTAATATAACCAAACATTAGTGTGTGTAATGGCTTAAGTATTAATTTTCAATTCACAAAAAAAAATTCTTTACATATAATAGCAAAAATAATAATTTTATTTATTTGAAATCAATTAAACTTTTTTTTATGTTCTTTGCCAAAATCATAAAAACGCAGCTCATACGTAAATTCATGTTAAAAATGCAGCACGACATTCTGAGAAATTATAGGCTATAACTAGATTGAAAAACAATATGATATATATTACATATATGATAATATGAATTGTAACTGATCGCACAATATGATTAAAAGTTATTGGTCAGTCTGAATATCCCGCTGCATTCTTTACCACCGTATATCAGCATCAGTACCGACATCAGAAATGTGCAAAGCAAAAAACATTTAAAAAAAGAAAATAAAAAGATCCGTGCAAGTATATAATCAGAATCTCATCTGCTCCGTAACGGTGTAAGTTGTAAATCAGCATTGACGTACCTACAACGTGAAAATGTCAATTCCGTACATTTTCGAAATACATTTATTAAGTTCAGAAATTGAAATATAAAAGATTTTGTCTGTAGGTGAAAGGTAAAGAACCTTAAGTGCCAAATAGTCATTTTTACTACAGAGCGTTTTAAAGAGTATGTTGAATATAAAAACAAACGTCGACAGGACTTAATGTCTTCTACTATTGCGTGATTTTCACATTCTAAAGCAATGATTGTTAAAAACATTTAAATTACAAAATGTAGACATAAGGTTTTTTTAACATTGCCCTAAATTGTAATTATTCAAAATAAAATTTGGCATTTTACTCTGAATATTAACCCGACTTTCAAGTTGACAGATGATCTGATGATAATTGAAAATGAAATTAATCTGTTCCAACTTGTTTAGAAAAAAATCTTGAAGAAGCCCTATTTGTCAAAGTCTAAAAGATATTTAAAGAAGGTAGGCTGATGGACACCTTCGCCACTACTAACAGACGTCTTTTAATACGGCTAAGCCTAAATTTAAAAAAAGTATATTATAAAGTATGGAAGACAAGTTATAACCAAAGCGTAAATCTTAAGCCATTACACGAAAAAATTTCTAGAATTACAATACAACAGTCACCGAAGAGGAAATAAATAAACTATCACAGACACATGAGTACACTCAAACCAATCAGTGCGGACCTAATTGTGATTCATAAGATTCTGTTTGGGAGCTGCCTTTGACCTCTTAGTGAAGCTATATCGCACTTCTCACTAACTGCCGTATCTGGTATTTTTGTCATAGCTGAGTAAGACGTACCGATCTTATTAAACTTTCATGAACAGTCATCACTAACGTGTACCTTTTACATGTACAAGGCGTCACACAGATATGGGACAGGGAGAAAAAAAGTACTTTTATTATTGTAGATAGGGTATTTATCTACATGGAGATACAATTTTATTTTTAAAAGCTAGTAATCCTACATTCAAAGACTTGTAAAAAATTGCTTACCTTATCCTGAATCAAAAAGTCCTATATTTTTAAGATTCCGATCAGAAGGGTCAATCATAAGGATTAATTCCTTTTAAGTAACATAGATCTTAAATTAAAGGAACAGCATGAATTTTTTACCTTTACTATCTAATACACAGATGCATAATGACAGAAAACAAAAATTTTGTGTTGCTATGATGTCGATCGAAAAAAGTATTTTTTTTTTACATTTGTGGTACGGCTCCCGTTGGTTCTGATTCCTAGATGAGGTAAGCAATTTTTTAACTCGCGTACATTCAATGCAGTATTACGCACTCTTAATTACAATTATTATTAATTTATTATACCTTTGACATAAAGTGCAACACAAACACCCCATGTATAATTAGCCGGTGTTCAGTATACACTCCGCTGGCCGGTGTGATGCAGCAAGCGAATAGCTATAGTTGAAGATTGAAAATCAGCAATGCTGAGTTTTCATCCTTTTTGTCCACATTACTGTTTTTTAAATGTTCGCTTATATACTTCCGGACGCGTAATTCAAGCCACCACGCATTTTCAGTATTAAGTGCCCCAAGCTTAAACAATGTTTGATTGATCAAAAACTATAATGCAATTTTGAAACTAGTATTACTAAACGTCTTTTCCATAAGTCCTTGTTGGGAATTTGGATTTGCAAAACCAGAGGAAAACTATTTCTTCGATGGTAACACAATTTTTGTATTCTAGCCCTTTACAACGAAAATGCGTGGTGGCTCGAATTATGTGTCCGGGAGGATATAATGTCACTGGACACTGCGACCGACATCTCCGGCACTAGCCCGGAGAGCAAGTAGACAATGAGCTAAATAATAATATGCTCCGGACCCTCCAGCCGCGTAGGCAGGTAGCTGAGAACTGGAGGGACGCTTCGGCGTCGATAGGTGAGTGTGCAAACAGCTACGCCACCAAAGTGGAGATTTGGTAGTGGATTTTAGAGTCAACGGCTTAGCGGTAGCAACCGTTAGTTGTGCAATGTACAACGGGAACTGAGCGTGACAACAGGTTTGGTATCTATCTGGAAAGTAGAGAGGGTACTGTACGCGCACCCAGGGCAGCTCAAACAAGGTAGGCCTTTTGAGAACCGGACTGATAAGGTTCCTGTACAGGCTAGCTTGCACTAGTTATAGTGCCTTTTTCGTAAGGGTCGGTACGGACGGTCACTATCAACAAAATTTATGCAGAAATGTACGGGAATGTACGCTTGTGTGTAGCTTATGTGTTTTGTGGATAAATAAATGTATTTTTATTTTTTATACAATAGTGTCTCCTTGAAGCAAAATATCAACAATATCTAAAGTACTTTTCCTTCGTGTCCCACAGCCGTAGGACGCCCTGTGTAAATTCATTGGAACAAGTTTTGTTAAATATTGGCTTAATGCTAGTTACGGCAGTTAGGAAAGAGGCATATACACCCGTCGTCAAAAT